TTCAGGAATTTAAATAAAATTCCACTCAAAAATTCAATTATTTTCATAAATAATAATATTCTTCGCAGGATTTCAATTATTTTCATAAATAATAATAAAATCCTTCGCAGGAATTTAATTACTTTCAATATAATTTTAATTAAGTTTCTTGAAAAAATTCAATTTATTTTATTACAATTTTAATTAAATTCCTCGAATCTATTAAATTATTTTCAAAAAATTTTAATAACTTAGAAAAATTTTAATAAAATTCTATGCAAGAATTATTATTTCAGCTTCAAAACTATAAAAGTTACATAAATTATAAAAAGTAATATAAAAATTAATATTCAAAGTTATCAAAAATGATATCTTTTAAAATAAAAAATTTGACTTATTAACCAAAAATTAAGGAAAATATAAAATATTTCTAAATTTTTCTTGCAAAAATTTTGCAAAATTTATTCTCTAAATCTGAATTAGTAAAATTTTGAACTCTTTAGAACAAAAGTGATATTAAAATTCTAAAAATGGATTTGTTAATTGTATATCGAAGAAGACATTCAAAAAATCAAAATTCAGTATTTTTTAATTTAGAAAATAATTGACTTCAACCTATTCTGCATTAAGAAAAATTGGTTTTTCTTACAAAAAAAATTGAAAAATAAGATTTATTTTTGAAAAAGAGGATAAAAAGATTTTTTTAAAAAAACGATTTTTGTATTTGAAAATTACTCAAAAAATACTTTAAAAATCACTAATATATAAAATTAAATCGTCATAATTTTAATTCCTATATTTTACACAAATAAAATTCAAAGAAGTTAATGTTTTAGTATTTTATTACTAAACATCAATTTACCCCAGAGTTTCAAACCAATCCCAGAAAATTAAAATCTTTACTTAATCGTTTTTAGGTGGAATTTTCTTACTATTAAAGAGTTTTTCTTAAATAAAATAATAAATTTTAAATTTACGATTTGGAATTCAATATTGACCCTTTGAAAATACTCACACATCTGTGGTGGTGGTGGTGGTGTTCCTTCGGTATTTAACACCGGGTGAACATACGGTCGACGTTCTTGGGAGTCAAATGGAAATCGATATAATCGTTGTGTTTTGTTCTTTTTCATCATCTCTCGCTTCGTCTTATTTGCCGTCAAACATCACGTATTATTAAAGGAAATGTGAAAAACACTCTCATTCTCGCTCTTATTATTTGTGTTGTCCGCCTCCTCTCTCAATGCCATACACGCACATTTACCAATTTTCTCTCATGTGCGTAATAATTTCAGCCCTCTTTTTTTGTTTTTTCAAAAAAAGAGAAAAATCACGTATCTCAAATAGCTGTATAATATGCAGATCTAAACTTCCATTCTCTCAAGGTTTAAATTTTCCATATATATCAGTCGTGGAGATCTTTTGAAGACATTTTCCTTCATCCAAAAAAACAGTCTTTTCTCTTCTCCATCTCTTTTGAATAATAATCGAATGATGCTTTCTAATTTTATGAAATCTGTTATTTTTAGATTCCTTCCAGTCCAGCACGTCAGGTTTACCTAAAATGAAAAGTGAAAAAAATATGAAAATTAAATAATTTGATTAAGTAAATAAAATAAATGAAGTAAATGAAATAAATGAAATAAATTATTTATATACTCGTAAAATTTTAATTAAATTAAATTTTTTCCAAATGAAAAAAAGAATACAAGGAGAGAAATATTTAAAATATTTTCCCCACTTCGATTCGATTTATTTTACTGTTACTACAACCGGATTATAAATACGGTTTCCCTATAAAACGGTCCAACGGGAGTTTTTTTCGAATAAATTTTTTTTAGGGTCACAAAGACCTTATATTATCATTATACAAATATTTGGGCTTATTTTTCATACTTTTTTGTATCCCTCTTTTTTTTTTTTTTTGAAATAATACGATGCCTTTTATCTCGAGAGATTATAATAAGAAGTTATAATATCTAATCAGAAAATAAAACCCACATATTGATGCGGTATTGGGGATTTAAAATTGCAATGCGACACATAGTGACCATAAAGTGAACTAAAAAAAATGGCTGCTGTGGGTGTACAAGGTTGAAAAAAATGTTAATATTTAAAGTATTCTAATGTTTAAGAAATATTTGTTAAGATTGTTGTTCATTATTTATCTTTTTATTGAAAAACTACTTAAAATTAAAACCGAAAAGTCACAATTTAAGTTTATATTTTTTTAAATTTGTACACCCATTTCGTCCATTTTTGGTGTAAAACACTAGCGACACCGAGCCCGCGGTGGTAATTTTCATTGCCAATTAGAGGAGAAGGAGAAAATCATTATTCAAACTGGAGTCTTCGTTTGCGGAAGGACTTTTGAAGAGAAGTTTCTGTCTAGCTATTTAAGAAAAAATATTGTGCTATACGAAAGTTTCTTCCGTTTCTGATCGCAATGTGTATACTTGTGTGTTCAGACATGAGCACACTTGCCTCTTATTGGTGGAGTGGGACGTGGGGCTCGGCATTTTCAAGGCTTCGTATTCGCAGCTCAGCTTTTTTGTCATGCTAAACGCATACATATTCCATTTATTCCTCGCGAGTAGGAGTTAATTTCATTGCAAACACACAGACAGTAATATGGCACGTCGAAGCTCCCTCATTTCCTCTTTGGTGCTGAAAGCTGAAACTCCCCTGCGAAACACAAAGTTTTTATATAATGAATATTTTAGGATTTACACCTGCAAAACGCGCACTTCAGTCAATGAAACTCAGAAACTGTTTATTAATTTTCGAAAAATCAAGTTTTCCCCGATAAATTAGTAATTCGTAAATTTAATTATATTCCATTAATAATTAATAATTATAATATCTAATAGAAATTAAATTTACCCTGAACAGAAAAATTGATTCAAATAATCGATTATTTGTCTATTATCGTAAATAAATATTTACTTGAAATAAATAATTTTTAATCAAGTCAATTAAATGACACAGAAAACAAAATTTTTCATTTCAGGCAAATACTATTTAACTGACTTACATTATTTATATTAATTTTTAATAATTTTCCGAAAGTTCTTCGAGAATTCAATTATTTAAATACAAAAATTCAAATTTTTATAATAATTATAACTGTCCATGTTTTTTAATTTATTAATTAATTTTCAAAAAATTATAATAAAAAAATTCTTAAAATTATGTAATTTTTTAAAAATATTTTTAAAATAATTTATAAAAGATAAGTTTTTCAATTATTTACAATTGAAAAATTTCCAAACAATTAAAATTTGGTCAATTCTATTAAAAAAATATTTGAATCTTTAAAGAATTTTAATTATTACAGGGTTGCAACAAGAAATTAATTTTGTTTTTCCCTGACCCTAAAGAATATTCTGATTCACTCTAAAAATTATTAGATACTCAAAAAAAAATTCTATTACATTTACTTACGAATTTCTAAAATTGTTAAATTATTCGCAAACATCAATAATTAAATTTTTAAAAAAAGTATTCAATTATTATTTTTCCATATAGGAATTAAAATTCTTCAAAACATTTTTAAAATTCAACTACTTAAAAGAATATTAAATATATATTATATATAAATAAATAAAATAAATATATATTAAATATATATTATATATATTATTATCCGAGTCTTCGACTCGAAGTAATTGATATCTTCAAGTTTTATAAACATTTAAATTTCCATAAAATTTTTCAAAACAAAATTAAATTATTTTAAAAAAATGTTATAAAAATCTGTTAAAACAACTCAATTGTTTTCATAAATATAAATAATAAAATTCTTCACAGAGTTTCAATTATTTTAAATATAATTTTAAATGAATTTCTCGAAAAATGAAATTAACTTAAAAAATTTTTTGCAAGAATTTAATTACATTTCACGAATATAATGAAATTCTTCGTTGAAATTCTTAATTATTTTAAAAATCTACTACTTTAATAAAAGTTCTCAAAAGAATTCAATTATTTAAAAAAAATGTAATAAAATTCGTTGCAGGAATTCAATTATTTTCATAAATAATAAGATTCTTTACATTATTTCAATTATTTAAAAAAAATTTCAAAAAATTCATTACAAGAATTCAATTACTTTCATAAATTAATAAAATTCTTCACAGCATTGCAATTATTTTTAATATAATTTTAATCAACTTTTATTGAAAAATTCTACGAGAATTCAATTATTTAAATACAAAAATAAAGAATTTATTGAATAAATGAATGTTTCTCGAAATTGAATTATCATAAAGAATGTTATCAACAAAATTCAATTTTTACGAGGAATTTTAATAAAATTTTCAAGAATAATTACATTTTTCGAGGAATTCAATTAAAATTGTATTAAAATAATTAAGATTCTATGATGAGTTTTATTATTCATGAAAATAATTGAATTTTTGTAAAAAATGTTATTATTTATGAAAATAACAGAATTGTTGCGAAAAAATTTATTAAAAATTTTGTAAATAGTTGAATTCCTGTGAAATTTTTATTATTTATAAAAATAATTCAATGTGTATTTAGAAGTTTATCAACATTTTTTTTTTAAATAATTGAATTATTTTGAGAAATTGTATTAAAATAGTAGATATTGAAAATCATTGAATTGAGGAAAAGTTTTTGAAAATAATTGAAATTTTGCAAAGAGTTTTATTAAAATTTTTGAAAATAATTGATAATTGATAATTTATGTTGTTTTTAGAACCCAATTTTCATTAAATTAATTTTTATTTTTATTGAATTTACACTTAAAAATTATTGATTCAAATTTTTGAGAAATCAATTATTTTCAAAATTTCAATTGAAATTCTTTAAAAATTAATTTTTAAAAATTGTATAATAAAATACTTGAAAAATAATTTAATTGACAATAATTAATCGTTCATATTAATTTTTTGAAAATTAATAAAACTCTGCGTTAAATTCTGAAAAAGAATGCTTCTTTTGGAAAGAAAGGAATTTTCAGAATATCTATAGTAGATAAATAAAATTACCTCATATTCATTTGAAACGTTTATTCAAGTGAATGAAAAATCCAGTTTTTCTCGTTGTTGAAAATTAAATTTTCGAAATATTGCACAATACTGACATGTATCAAACGATGTGACAATTGAAAAACGTCCCAAATTCCGATTCACTGAAATTTTTTAGAAATTTTAATTTCATTTTTTTGTTTCTTTTAACTGAAACAACTGAAATGTTCCGTCAAAAATATTAAAAAAAGTAGGTTTTAAATTGTTATATACAATTAACCTAAGTCGTGAATTTAATTAAATTTACTCACATGAAAAAATATAAAATTTTTTCTTTTCATTGCAAAAATTATGCGTCGTCGTCGTTTTGATACAATTTTTCAATTTCCCTATGTTTTACACGCTGTAATGTTTTCAGTGCAACATTGAGAATTTGTTGCTGAACATTGTCAATGGTTTGATTGGCATCAATAATATTCCAATTATCTTCCTCGAGTTTTTGAAAATTACGAGCGACATTTAATTGTATTTCGCGTTTCTCAAATCTCTCGTCACCCCAATTGCTCCTTGACATTTGGTTTTCTTCACTGACCTTTAGGTATGCAACGAGATCCGGTCGTGGGAGACCTTTGTCAGGATTTTTGCACCAGTCAAGATCCCTTCCGGTGTAAGCAGATGCGTATGCAGCACCAGAAGCGGCGTATCTGTATTTCAAAAATTGAAACACTAATCACCTGGTTTTCTAATTTTAGACATGTAGCAAAAAAGAGGGTCGAAAGAAGAGAGAAAAAAATAAAAAGAATCAGCTATGAAACTTTAAAACACCGATTGTTTTGTTAAAGTATTTCAATACATTCTTTTTAAATATAAGATGTAGAAATATTGTATATATTGTTACAAAATATATTTTGTATATTTTTTATGCGAATATAAAGCAAAATATAAAATAAATAAAATATTACCTGTCCACGATTAGCGTTTTTCCCGATTGAAGAGCTTTTATCATGTCGTTTGCTTTTTCCCAACGATTCTGCGAAAACAAGGAATGAATTTCGCCGGGTTCCAAATCAATTTCTTTTAGTAAATATTTATTTATTTTTGCACCGATTGTCGTCGATCTGTCTGAAAAAGGTAAAGAAACGATTGATTATAATTAACTGTACGACCTGTACGACAAAGGGCCGTTGAAATTGTACTTGTTTGCATTAGATTCCCGCCACTTTTACACAAGGACAAACATAACCTCAAAATACATTAAACGAGAAAAGCAGAAAAAAAACTTGTTCAATACAGACAATAAAGAAATTAAACAAAAGTTAATAAAAAATTACTCTTGAGGCGTTAATTAAACGAAAATAAGGAATAAATTACCTGGAAATGACATTACTTCAGCGGGAATTTGACGATCTTGCAAGGCTTGAAGGAGCATTTTTACTTGTGTTGATTTTCCTGCTCGATCACATCCTTCCAGAACTAATAGTGCTCCTCTTTCAAAAGTCATTTTTAATGCTTCTTTTCTTTTTACTAAATTATGATATATCAGTTATAATTGTTGTGAAAATAATTAAACAAGTGCAAGTAAAATTGACGGGTAAAAACAATAAAATTCCTACCACAAATCAGTCGGTAAATGCAGATTCCGAAAAGTAGTTCTTTTTTTGACCGTTTGGCACTGAAACAAAACCCGGGAAATTCAAATTAAACAAAACAATGAATTAAAATTAATAATATATAAAATGTATAAAGTTAATAATAATTGTTGGTAAATATGCAAAAGTACAGAAATATAATCGAAATAATAAAAATCTATATTTATTAAATAATAAAATAAGTATAACAAAAAATATAAAAATAAAAGTTATTCCAAATTTCCGAATAATTATAATTTAATTTAATTAAATTAAATTATAACAAATAATCATTTACCTTAAAATCAAATTTTACTTTTATGAAAACAATAAAAAATTACTAATTGCTTTAGTCAGACGATCGATTTAATTATAAAAAAAATATAAAATAAACGATGAAAACTGAAAAAATTATCTAATCATTTTCCTATTTAGGCATTTGTGCAAATTTTGTTTATAACATTTTTATTAGAGAAAATTCTTTTGAGAATAATGTACAAAATCTAAAAAGCTATTCTTCTAAAGTTTAATGCTAAATTAGTATTTAACCTAACAACTCTGGTGATAAAAAAAACGTGTAACTGCACGTTTTCGTTCATATATATTTTCATTTACAAATTTACTTATTCACTGCCATTAAAAATTGTCTTTTAATTTCAAATGCAATAATACCTAGTGCCATTCCACTGTTTAAACTTTCGACGCCATTATTCAATGGTACATTGACGCGACATCCTCCATTGTCACTAGCTATTTTAAGTGAAGAATAACTTAAACCTTCCGTTTCTCCACCGACGATTATGACAGTTTCGTCCTGTGTGTAATCGAGGGAATAATACGGCACAATAGATAATTCTTTACTCATAGCTTCCCTCGTAAGTTCATCCGTTTTCGTATTAACATCATCATCATCATCATTCTCTTCGTCCTCAATTATTTTATCTGCATTTTCTTTAGCAATACTTTCAGTGTCGAAATTTTGTGATTCTTTAATATTTTCCGATTCATTATTATTATCATTAGATAATAGTTCACTGTCAACTTGATTGTCAGCGACGATATATTTTGCTCCTGGACTTAACATTAATCGTATGTCGTGCCAATTTTTGTCATTGTAAATTGGTAGACGAAAATGTGTCCCCGCTGCGCTTCTCAGGACCTTCGATTCCCATATATCGACGCAACCTGGAAATATGTATTTATTTCATTAAATTAAAATTATATTTAAGTAAATAATTTGGAAATGAAAAAATGACGAATACATAATACATAGAAGAAAAAAATAAGAAAAAGAAAAAACTGTAAAATAGTGAAAGTATTTTGTGTAGTAAAATGCAAAAGTGATTAAAAATACTGAAAGTAAAAAATTCTTAAATTAAGAATTTTTAAAATTATAGAAAAATAAATTTGTCATTTAAGAATTAAATTAGTATTATAAATAAAAAAAGGTTGTTTCTAAATTTTCATAATACCTTTAGTTAAAATAACTTTATCGCATCCAACACCAGCTGCTGCTCTTAAAATTGATCCCATATTTCCAGGATCTCTGATATTGTCGCAGACGATTGTAATTGGCAGCGAATCGTTAACTTGGAATTTTTCCACATCAGGAGTTTCAAAAACACCTAAAATTATGATAATAATTGAATTCTTGGGAAGAATTTTATAAAAATTTACAAAAAATAATTAAATTCCTGTGAAAAATTTGCAGAAATTCTATTATTTTCAAAAATTTTAATAAAATTCTTGGCATGAATGAAAAATAACAAAATTATTTGCAAATCTTCAATTACTTTCAAAAATGATAATAAAAATTTTCACAAGAATTTAAATACTTTCGTTAAATAATAAAAATCTTCACAGAAATTCAAATATTTTCAATAGTTTTGGTAAATCCTTTTCGTAGGAATTCAATTATTTTTAATACAATTTTAATAAAATTACTGTATAATATTCAATTATTTTTAAAATTTTAATAAAATTCCTAGAAAGAATTCAATTATTCCTAAGAATTTTGATACAATTCTTAATAAGAAACAAATAATTCTCAGTACAATTTTAATTAAATTGCATGAAAAAATTAAAATTTTGTTTAAATAATTGAAATTTTGCAAATGAATTTTATTTGTGAAAATAATTTAATGTTCGGAAAGAATTTTATAAAAATGTCTTTAAATAATTAAATTCTGGTGGAAAATTATACTATTCAAAGAAATAATTGAATTCTTGCAAAAAAATTTTATATTGCTTAAAAATGTTACATAATTTATGTTAATAATTAAAATCTATAGAGAAATTTAATTAAAATTACATTCAAAATAATTGAATTTTTATAAAGAATTTTATTTAAAATTTTGAAAGTAATTGAAATCTTTAGAGAAGTTTTATTAAAATTGTATTGGGAATAATTACATTTCTTGCAAAGAATCTTGTTATTTATGAAAATAATTGAATCTCTGGAAAAAATGTATTATTTATGAAAATAGTGGAATTATTGCGAAAAAATTTATACAAAATTTGTAAATAATTGAATTCAGTTGTAATTTTTATTATTATTATGAAAATAATTCAATGCTTTGCGTAGAATTTTGGCAAAATTTTGTTTAAATAATTGAATTCATTTGGAAAATTTTATTAAAATAGTAGATATTGAAAATTATTGAATTCTTAAAAATAATTGAAGTTTTGCCAAGAATTTTATTCAAATTTTTGAAAATAATTGAATTTCAGAGAAGAATTTTATTATTCATAAAGATAATTGACATTTTGAAGAAAATTTAAAAAAAAATTTGAACGTAATTGAATTTCTACGAAGGATTTTATTACTTTTTGGAAATAATTGAATTTCTGCAATTATTTGTAATTTGGATAAAATTCAATTCTTTTGTAGTGATTTTAACAAAAATTCTTCTATAAATCGATTATTTTTAATAATTAATGAAGTATATATTAAAAAATTTAACTAATTTTAGAAGAATTTGAATTATTAAATTTTTCAAAGATCTAATTAAATTCATACCCATTAATCCCGAAGGTGTTGAAAGACTAGACCACAATTGAATAGTTCGATATGGTACTTTATATATTTCTGTTTGGCTTCTATTCAAAGGCAACTTTTCCAAATCTGGATTTCGGCTGAAAATAATTTTCTCTGGTACTAATCCAGCTTGAAGTGCATCTGTAATTAATCGTTTTCCTTCCAATAGAATTTTATTTAACTTCTTTCTCTGTTTTTTAGATTTGATCTGCATCATCAATGGTCTAAAAAAGTAAAATTACTTACATCTCACTTCTTAATTGAAAATTATTAATGATTTGGATTTAAAGAAAGAAATATAAACAATTTACAAGTGTCAATTTATCAATTAGTCAAAAGTTAACTTACGATAATATTTTTTCATTATCATATAATTTGGTAAAGACAGTTTTCTTTTTTTCTGGTCCATCGTCAACTTTTGCTGTACGCTGGGTGTTTTTCGAATTTCCAATAACTGCGTCTTCTTCTACGTCTAATTGACGTCTGAAAAAAAATACAAATTTAGATCATAAATCCTGTTTTTCAATTAAAGGAAACAATTCTTTTTTTCGGATGAAAATATTTTGTATAAATTGTACTTACAAAGCGGATCTTTGCCTTCTAGTTGGCTTTCTATTTCGTCGTCTTAATGACAATTCAGAATCTGAATATCTATCCATCGGATATGAGGCTTCGGGCTCATCGAAAAGTTCATCTTCGTTAACAATTGCCGCATGTTTACGACCGGTGAATTTTGAATAGTTTTCAACGTGAATATGTAAATTTGTACATGTCACTTTCACAACACTAAGTCCTTTTAATTTCGTCGAAAATTGCACTATATTTCGCAGCATTTTTCAATCTGAATTAACAATATAAGTAATAAAAATTGATAATAGTAAAATAGGTACTAACTTGAGGAAATTAACATAGAATTGTTTTTAATCGTTTCTAAAAGATATTTTCATTGTCATTATTATTATTTATCAGTGATGCAAATGTACTTGGAGAATGTTCTCACTAAGCGTCTTTTTGTGTTAAAATTATAATAATTTTATAAGTAATAATTAATAAACTTATAAAAATTTCTACGATTTTCGTACTAAAATAAAAGAATTTGAGGTTAAGTTGCTCACCACGAGTATTTACTATGGGCGCGTTTTCATTAATTAGACCTCTGTGGACAGTTTTCGAACTAGTATTGGACAAGTTTCTTATGGTAACTTTGTGGAAATCTGTGTTACCAACAACTCAGTATTACCAACAGTAGTAGAAGATGTCGCCACTGCGCTGGGGAAAAAAAGCAAATCGGTGTTAAAAATTCTTTAAATTGATTTTGAATTACGTTTCTTTTCATTTTTGAATAAAAAAAGTGATTAAACATACAAGTTTACATGTAAATAGACAATTTTTAACATTGTAAAGTCCCGTCTTCTTTTAGTAGGTTCTTAATTTTGGAAAAGCCATCATGTCAGGATGGCCGAGCGGTCTAAGGCGCCAGACTCAAGGTTTAACCTTCTCAGTTCAGCTGAGTCTCATGGGCATTCTGGTCCTCTATGAGGGCGTGGGTTCGAATCCCACTTCTGACAAATTTTTTGTCATTTCTTTCTAAAATTTAATTAATTTTTTTTCTTATTTTTATATTTTTCTACAAGTGGACGCACAGTCGCCATTAACAGAGTAATCTAGTTTTAACGTTACAAATTTTTCGATCTATTAATTGATTATTAATTATAATTAGTCTCATAATTAGTTTTGCCAAACACATGGTCTGGATTAATTCCAAACTTATTGTACTTTGACCAGAACAAGCAATGGGAAAAAATTTTTTTTTAAATGAGACAAAAAAATTTACTTTTCCCTGGGGCACCGTAAAGTGTTGCTACGCTACTGCCTGATAGCAGCGCCCCTATAGGGGAAAATATAAACTTTCCATATTGTCCATTCGATTACACGTTTTGTTGGGTGTTTATTGGTTATGTTATTAATTTGTAGTGCCGGTGATGTGAAAATATAAGAAAAATATGAGTTGATTGATAAAATACTGTGAGTGAAGTGATGAAGAGGATAAACATTTCAGTAAAACGGATGGTTTACAATGCATCAAGGATGACAAATTCATTTTGGTTGCTCTTTGTCAAAGGACTTTATTCTACACGAAATTATGTGAGTACTTTTAATTTAAACATAATATTTGGTAAGTTTCAAGAAAATAGTGTAATATTTTTCATAATTATTGAAAATGTGGTGTATTTTGTGCAAACATTCAGTATTTTTAGCTTTTTTTTACAACTTAAGGAAGCCTGGGTTTTCTAACCTCAAAACCGGCAGAAAATGTTAAAATCAAAACATTTCCTCGTCAGGTGTTAACTCAACGTTTGTAAATTACCAAAGGTTGACAAAGTAGATAGAGTAATATTAAAATTTACATTTTGTTTGTCTCTTTTAAAAAAGTTGATCAATAGAATAAGACAATATTCCGTTTCGCTCGTCAATATTATATGCATAATACTATATTAATATTATATTAATAAGTATTAATAAGTATTATATTAATACTATATTAATATAATACTTATATTACTATATTTTTATATATGTATTACTATATTATATGCATAATACCATTTTTTGGACTTTGGAGATATTTTTACTCATATAAATATTCATTTCAACAACACTTTCTCATGTGATATAGGAATATAGAAATAAAGTACATTATTGATTTCGTACTTCCAGATATAAAACAATCCATAAATGGCAAGTAATATGGAAATAACATTCAGTAGTATTATTTTCAATTTTAATCGATTCTGTTGTTTTTTATTTTATTTATTCATTTTATTTTATATTTATTTTGTTTTATATTATTAATTTTTTATTTGTACTCAATTTTCGAATTTTATTTAATGGGAAAAAGGTGGAATATTTTTATAAATTTATTTAATATGATAAAAATAGTATATGATGGATTGTATAAGTTTGTCAGTATTTAAATAATCAATTTTCTCGGAATCGATAATATTTTTTCTGTGAGTTTTCATATTTTGAGTTAATTTACAGATTGTTTTTTTCACAATCAAGGAATTAAAATCAAAATACTGTCATTCATCATGTTCATCATTAATAGAAATCTCATTTTTTTCCTATAAAAAGAAAAAAAATATTTCCCCGAATTATATTATTTGTAAAAATTATTTCTTTTATTATTTTGAACTGAAAAAATTAAATTACACTAAGGAATTGATTAATCAAATAAATATTTACTTTCGAATCAAACCGCTTTTATTTCATCAGACAGTAATAGTACTTGTTTCAAAATTAGAAATTATTAAGTCAATTACACTTTATTTATTGTAATTAAAAATTATTCAATTTAAATAAATAATTGACAATAAGCAATTTAATAACTATTAATTAATTATTTAAATAATGTTAAGAATGTTTGAATCTAATTTTTGTCATTGAAAAATTTATAAAAAGCTAAAAATTTAATTTTTTCGAAGAATTAAGCCGAAATAATTAAAATTCTTTACAAAAATTCAATTATTTTTAAGAATTTAAAAAAAATTCTGCACAAAATTCGATTATTTTTATAAATAACAATATTCATCACAAGGATTTAATTATTTTCAAAAGTAATAAATTTCTTCTTGGAAATTCAATTATTTTAAAGATTCTAATAAAATAGTTTGCAAGAATTCAATTATTGTCAAAAATTTAAATAAAATTCTTTGTAAACTTTCAATTCTTTTCAAAAGTTTTTCTCAATTCAAAGATTTTCAACATTTATTATTTTTATAAAAGTTATCAAATAATTTAATTATTGAAAAAAATTTTTGATACAATATTCTACATAAATATTTAATTATTTTCATCGCAGAATTTCCAATATTTTTAATACAATTTTAAATAAATTCAAATTTAAGAAACATTCCATTATTCAATAAAATAATAAAATTCGTTGCAATAATTCAATTATTTCGATAAATATCAAAATTCATCAAATAAGAATTCAATTCAATTTCAATTATTTAAACGAAATTTAATAAAAATTCTTCGCATGAATTCAATTATTTTCATAAATTATTATTTAAATTCTTCTCAGGAATTCAATTATTTTAAAAAATGTTAATAAAATTCTTGAAAAAGTTCTCAATTATTTTCAAAAATTGTTATAAAATTCTTTAATATGATAAATTTTAGTAAAATTAAAAATTTTATTCCTTAAAAGGAAATTAATTATTTTCAAAAGTTGTTAATAAAATTCTAAAAAACATTCAATTATTAAATAAATTTTGTTTTTTTATTTAAATAATTGAATTCTCGTAGAATTTTCTAATAAAAATTGATTTAAAAATGAATAATTTTAGTTAAAATTTTAGATAATAATTAAATATTAAAAGCATTACGGGAGAATATTTAGAAATAATTGAATTTTGAAAAGGTTTCGAATTCAAATCTTCGAATTCTGGTCAGGGAAAAAGTTAAAATTTTTTCTGGAAATCAGGGAAAAGCCAGGGAAAAAGGAAATTAAATTTTTGTGGCAACCCTAATTTATTTATAAATTATTTGAAGTAACAATAATTTATTTTTTCAACTATATGAAATATTCAAATAAATTTTATTTGATTCAAATGAAACATTTTTCTGTAATTTAATTTTTTTTTTCTCAAATTTCTTTGTATTATTATAGATAATGAAATTATCGTTATATAAAAATCTGCCATAACAATTAAAATTCGCTAGATATAAATCAATAACATAATTTTCCCTAAATGCAAATAATAAATGCCTGATGGTTATCAAGCGAGGGATTAAGAGATCATGTACCTTGTTCTTTACTTATCTTATCTTTTTTGATTGCACTCTGTATATTTTTTAAAGCTCTTCATAATTTTCCATGTCGATGACTCGTCACATGGTTCATTTTAATTTTACCGAAATTTCTCTCATAACTTTATATTTATTGGGCTGTTCAATTCACATAAGTCTTTTTTATTCTCGATTCCATCGTAAATTTTACTTCACGCGCATTCATGCAATTCAAAATAATAATAAATTTTTTTTTCATCTTTGTCATTTTTTATTATTATGTATATTATGTATTTTATTTAGTTTTTGTTATTTTTTTAATTTTTTATTTGATTACATTTTTTATTATACCTTTTATTTATTCTTTTATTACTTTATTTATTTTTCTATATTATTTTATTTATTTTTCTATTATTTTGTTATTCTTTATTTTTTTTATTTACAGTATTATAATTAGTTTATACTTTTTCATGACCGTTAAAGTTCTGAACGTTTAAACGTACGAAATTTATTTATTTCCTCTTCAAATTAAATTTTTTTTTACTATAATTTTACGTCACTGTAAAAAAATTAATTATAAAGTTTCTAAATATAATTTTTATTTTTTTAACTTTTATTGCAATCATAATTTTTGATAATAATTTTAATAAAAAATATTGTTAACTTCTTCCTTTAATATAAAAAATATTTCGTTCATTTGGATGTTCAAAATTTGTTGATTATTTCTTTCCCAAAAAGAGTAACTAAATAGTTATTAAAAAAAATAATAATAATATTAAGATAATAATAATTAATAAAAGAATAAATTTGCAGATAATAAAAAATGGCATTTGGAGGAATAATTAATAAGAAAATAAAATCGATAAAAATAAAAAATCGCATTTGGAGTTGTAATTAATAAAAAAGAATTTGCAGATAATAATAAAAAATGACATTTGGAGATATTGTTAATGAAAAAGAAATAAAAAAAGGTCTATTAACCTTGAAAAGCGAGAAGTAGAAAATTTTTTCGATGGCTCGATAAATGTTTTTCTCTCTCTCTCTCTCTCTCTCTTTTTTTTTGTGTATCTATATAAAGTCAATATCAGCGAAATCTAAAAGATGCGAAACTCCAAATTAAATAAAAATACGCTACATCTTGAAAATGATATCTCTCGAGAGGCTTTTCGCTTGTATTATGCCGATAACATTATTTCATTGTTTTCAATTATTATCAGTACACAAAGAATATTTAAACAAATATAAATCTTCAACGTGGCTTGAAATATATTTGTGATTTATTCACCTTCTACATAACAACACTCACCATTCATTTATTTAGCATCCTACCAAAGAGGGGTTCGAATTGACCCTTTCCGTTTACACACAATTCAGTTTCTGCTTGGCTCTTTGAAGTGAACGTTCATTATCCTTATTTTTCTTAACGTCTCTCGTCCCTTATTTGCTTATTTAGAGAAAAAAAAAAGCATTAAAAATTAAAAATGTCTCAGGAGACATTTTTAACTCCCGGTCAATTAATAAAACCGTTGATAAATCAAGAAACTGCCATTAAAATTGTTGAGAAAGTTTATGGACTAAAAGTGAGGGAAATCAACGAACTCAATGCATACGATGACAAGAATTATCATATTTTGTGTGAACCTGGAGAACATAATCATCATTTGGAAAAAATTTGCGAAGAAGGATATGTACTGAAAATTGTCAATTCATTGGATTCGAAAAAACACAATGTCATTGAGGGACAAACACAAATGATGATATTTCTCAATGAAAACGGAATTTGTTGCCCGATGCCAGTGAAATGTATCAATGGATCTTATTTCTCTTTGGAAAATCTACAAGCAAATAGTGATGAAACGAATATTGTTCGATTAATGATTTACAGACCGGGAAAATTATTAATAAACGCAACGAAAAAAACACCGGAACTAATGTTTGAAGTGGGTAAATTTGTCGCTAAACTGAGTAATAAATTACAAGAATTTTCTCACAGTGGTTATGAGAATCATCAAACAATTTGGATGCTGAATAGTGTACCAAAAATAAGGGAATTTTTCGATGTTTTAGATGAAGAGAATAGAAAAATTGTCAATGATGTTGTCATTGAATTTGAGGAGAAAGTGATGAATTGTTTAGAGTGTTTTGATAAAGGTTACATTCACGGTGATCTTAATGAACAAAATATTGTCATGAGTGACGATGAGAGGACAATAAGTGCTATTATTGATTTTGGTGATTCATCGAAGAATTATTTGATTTTCGATTTGACGATTTTATTGACGTATATGATGTTACAAACGGAGGATATTGAATCGGGTAAATTTGTTATTCAAGGCTATGAGACTGTTCGATTGCTTAGTGAAAAGGAAAAGTCAATTATTAAAATTTGTGTCTGTGCTCGATTGTGTCAGAGTTTAGTACTTGGACTTTATTCACACAAAAATGATCCAAATAATGATTATTTATTGTCGACACAAAAATCCGGTTGGAAAATACTCAAGGAACTTTGGTTTAAGAGTGACGAGGAAATTTCCCGTATTTGGAATATTAACTGATTTTTTTTTATTGTGAATTTTGTTATTGTATCTCTGGATAGTAATTTTAATACCGACGTAATTTTAAAACGAAAATAGTGATTTAAAAAAATTTTTTTTTTGATAACGAAAGAAAAATGTTTTCGAGGTTTATTTGTTCGTTTACCTCATCGCAATTATTTATAATTAAATTGGCAGAGAGTTGAAACAATATTTAAATTGAATTAAAAGGATGAGGTAATTGTTTACAATTAATAACGAATTTGTCAATAATAGAATCTGTAGGACAAAAGTAATTGATATTTTACTGGATGGAAAATAATTGTTAATTAAGGTCAATTAATAATCGTGCCAATAGTTATTAATAAAATTTTAGGTCAAATTGTCACTAATAGGTAAAAATGTCACTAATAGAAATTTAGGTGAAATTTAGAAAAATAAAAATGAAAATTTAGATGAAAATCTTATTGGCAATTATGTTGAATTACAAATATAATATAAATGAATAAATTAAAAAGTGATTGAAGGAAAAAAAAAATTTTTTTGTGTGATGTACACTTCCTCATTTCTTTTATTGCTTCTTTCACATATGTGTGTACTTTTTTTTTCATTCTCAGTAATTAAGTACACACGTGCGTGAATTTACGTCAGGCAGTTACATATTTACATAGATATATAATGAACAATAATATTTTTCGTGTGTTTTTTGTATAATTATTATTTAATAATAATAATTATAACATGTAGCCATTTTACAATTTTACTTTGATCGTGATATATACAAAAGTGATAGTTCTATAGAAAAAAAAAATTCTCTTACGTATACTTATTACATATTATTGGCGAAACTACAATCATTTTTTTCTGCCTTCATTAATATGTAAAATTAAAATAATAACAAAGAAAAGAAAACTGTTTTGTACAATTAATCATTATTATATTAAACACTAATTTAATTAGTATTTCTCTTATACATAGGTGTTTTTTTTCTGACGTGTAATGCATCATTTGCATTTTCCAAAAATTCATTCTCATTAATCACTCGTTCATTCATTCTTTAAATATTTATATGTATACTTTTTTTTGGAATTTGGAATTTTTTTTTTGAGAGAAAATAATGTTTGGAATTTTTAAAAAAAAATTTTTATTTATATCCATAAGACAAGTAATCGGTTATTTTAATAAAATAAATTTTTTTTCGGTGAATTGAAAAGAAAGAAGAATATAAAAGGAATTATAATAAATAGAAAGAAATTCGTGAAACAATTGTTACACTTAAAAAATTAAATAATTTAAATTTAAAATTATTTTATATTTAAATAATTTAAATTTAAAATTATTTTATATTTAAATAAGTTAATTTTAAAATTATTTACTATTTGAATAATTTAAATTTAAAATTATTTAATATTTAAATAATTTAAATTTAAACTAATTTAATATTTAATTAATTTAAATTTTAAATTATTTAATATTTAAATAATTTAAATTTGAACTTATTTAAATAAATTATTTTGATGAATAGTTATAATGTTAATAGTTAATGTCAATTTGGAAAATGGAAATATTTTAGTTAAAGAAAACGAGCATAATTGAAATTGGAATGCGCGGATTACAATGTTATTTCAGACGCAATTTAATTAACTATTGAATACGTGCGACAAATTCACTTGCGTAATTACGCTTTCGTGTAAATTGCTCTCAGATTTAATATTAAGACCCATGCATTCATTGCTAATTTTTCCGAGTTTTTCGCTCTTATGCACTTTTATACACCACATTTTTAATAATAATTATTAACAAAAAATCTGAAAAATATACACTAATAATGCGATGTTAAAACGTTTAAAAAATATTTTAAAAATTTATAAATAATTAGAAATTTAATTTATTAGAAAGCTAATTAGAAATTAAATTCAGTAAAAATTAAATTAATTACAAATTGAATTGAGTAAAAATTAAATTAATTAGAAATTGAATTAAGTAGAAATTAAATTAATTAGAAATTGAATTAATTAAAAATTAAATAAAATAGAAATTGATTTAATTTTGAAAAATATTTATAAATTAAAAATAAATCAGGTAAATTAATTGTACAATTAATATTAATAATTCGTTTCGATGCCTTCATCATACACGTCTCATTTTTTTTTTTTTTTGCACCAAATGTGCGGAAAAAGCTATACATAGAAATTACTTTTTTTTTCTTGGTAAAAAACAAAAATTGCCCTCCGATTAAATTTGGTAAATAAATAAAAATTATAATTTCATTATAATTGTTACAAGAATAACACGAGATTATTTTTATTCTGGTCAATATTTATTATGATCAAACTTTCTCTATAACGATTAATTTTTTTTTTCGTGACCTTTAAATAGAATAATTTTTTAATTATATATTATATAATATATATATATTAAAAAAAAATGTCCTAAGTGTGTCAAACACGAGGCACACGAAGGTAAACTCGAGTCCTTTGATCAAACATTTTAAACTTCACATTAATGAATTTTCGTCAGAGATTTTTTAACAAAATATTATATTACATATTATATCTATATGTATAATAATTATTCTACTAAATACACTTTTGAAGAAAAAAAGCATTTTACCTCAGAACATTTCATCATTTTTTTTTTCTTTTCTCTCTTTTTTTTCAACATATGGTACATGACACTTTAAAAAAAAAAACAGTGCGAGACAAAATTTTTCTTCAAAAGTGCCGTAGAATATAAATTTTATTGCTTAAAATCTATATTGCGGCTTACGCTTTGCCCTCGAAGGGTATTTTTTTATAGGCATAAGTTCATTTTTTTTAGGTTGTTACGATAATTCTATAATTTTTTTTTCTCTCCTATTACTCGAGGTATAAATTACAGTGCTGTATAATGTATTAATTAAAAAAAATGTTGATTTACTAACTAATTAAATAATTGACTGATCACTTCATTGAATAATTTAATAATTAACTAATGTATTAATTAGCTGTGCAATTAATTAATTAGCTGCTGTTAATTAATAAATATTCAAATAATTGACAAAATATCTCATTTAGTAAATGGGTAACAAAATACTTAACTAATTAAGTACTCAAATAGTTAAGAACTCAAATAATTAAATACTTAAGTAATGAAATAATTATCTTAATAAATATTTAGCTAATTAAATTTTCAGCTAATTGAATACTTATTTAATTAAATACTTCACTAAATATGTATTTAATTAATTTTAACTAATTGAAATTAAAAAAAAAATTAAAACAAAAACTAATTTAATTAATTGAACTATAATTAAATATTTAGTCGACTTGATACACAACTAATTAAATTATTAGCTAATTAAACATTTTATTAAATAAATTTTAGATAATTAAATACCTACTTAACTAAATAAGTATTTAACTAATTAAATATTTAGCCCACTTTATACTTAACAAATTAAATTCTTAGCTAATTAAACATTTTACTAAATAAATATTAGCTAATTTTAATTCTTAGCTAATTGAGTACTTGGCTTATAAATACTTAGCTAATTTATTTATTAGTTAATTAAGTACTCAGTTAATTAAATACTTAGCTAATTAAATATTTAGCTAATTTATTTATTAGTTAATTAAGTACTCAGTTAATTAAAGACTTAGCTTATTAAATACTTGGCTAATTAAATACAAAGTTAATTAAGTATTAAACTATTTAAAAACTTAATTAATTAAGTAGTTAAGTAATAAAATATTCAGTAAATTGAAAACTGAGCTAATTAAATTATTAGCTTATTAAATAGTCAGCTAATTAAATTATTCGCTGATTGAATACTTAGCTAATTAAATTATTAGCTGATTAAATTCTTAGCTAATTAAAAACTTTGCTCATTAAATACTCATTTAAGTAAATACTTAACTGATTAAATACATAGCTAATTAAATAATAGAGTTATTAATTACTAAGGTTATCAATTTATTAATTAATTAAGAGGTAAAACAGTTTTGCCAAGAAGTCAGTCAATTTTCAATCATAAAGATCAATTAGTTGATCAAATTGTAAATTAAACTATTTTATTAATTAGTTTTTTTTTAAATTGATTAGTTTGCAAATTTTTTCAAATTAATTAATTAGTTAGTAAATCAATTCATAAATGAATGAAATAATTTTTTTTTTAAATAATTAGTTTTTAAAAAAATTTATTTTTAACAAAATGAAAATCTATCTTTAACAAAAAAATCTTGAAAAGTTTTTATTTTTTATGAAAAATTGTTTGGGAGGCACCTTGATGCTCTATAATGAAATATTCACTTTTACAAAATTACTTAAAAAATCCTCTTTCAGTCTTAAGAAAACGAGTATTTCAATATTGTGCTGTTTGTGAAACTAAAAAAAGTTCTAGAATGACATAGATTCTTATAAATCGAGGTCATAGTGTAGTCATTTTGTTTTTTATTTAGTTAATAATAATATGAATTATTTTTTTTTTTAATGAGGTTTGCACTCATTGAGCTCGGAACATTTATATAGAAGCTTTTTTTCGTGGCGAGAAGGTGAGGGGTGGGGAGGGGGGGGAATTCTGTATCTGGTATATAATATACATATTTATTTATAATATATCCTATATCATTTGCGAATGAAAATTATTTTTTATTTTTGTAATTAATGTGTGTATGAAAAAATGTTTTCTTTTCGTTTGAGAAAAATAGTTTTAAAAAATTTTTTAAGTGGAACTTTTTTTTTACATTTCCGTTGTTTTTTGTTTTTGTAAACATATATATGGTATAAAAAACTGATTATATTTGAAATATATTTTTTTCTTAGAGGAGGGGAAAGAAAGTTATTTTTGTTGTTAATTTAAGGGAAAGTAATTACATTGATTTTGTAGATAAATAAAGGGAGGGGAATTTATTTACACTTTTAGAGATTTTATTCTTTATATTTTTGTGGAAATAATGTCAGGTATTTGTTTTAATTTTTATTAATTATTAATATTGAGATCAATTTATTGAATTATTGTTAGTTATTGTTATAAAATATTGTTTATAATCGAATTCTAACAATTGAATTATTGTTAAATTGAATTTAATAATTCTGTTTCGAATATGCTCTGAAAATTCGGAAAAATTTTGAACGTTCAAATGAAGGAAAAATGTTTGAAATATATTTTCAAAAGTGAACTGCAATAAAAATCGAAAACATAAATTTAGCAATTTGAAACTTTAGAAATAAGTTTAATAATTTAATTTTTTTAAATAATTTTTAATAACTTTCAATATTATTAATTTATTACACTAAGAATATAATATGTTTGAGTCAAAGATACGCTGAAAAAAAAATTATTTGATTCAAGTAACCGATTCTTGTTTCTTATCAAATAAATATTTATTTGAATCAAATAATTTTTATTTAAGTAAATTAAATGGTTCATTTCATATTTGTTTCGAATAATGAAATTATTGGTTCATATATAATTTATTTGATTTCAACAAAAATTATTTGATTCAATTAAATATTTATTTTGTAATAATAGGCAAAGTAATTAATAATAGTAATCGGTTATTTGAATCAAATAATTTTTTTTATTGCAATTTTCTTTGCTATTGAGTCAAATTATTATTTGAGTCAAATTATTTTTGAAAAAAACACAATAATTTTGATTCAATAAATAAGTTCGATTTAATAAAAATTACGTTTAATTGAATTATATAAAATGTGTTTAATTCAAACATATTTCTTTGCTTTACTTATTTTTGATTTAAAAACCACTTTCTTCTCAGTGTATTTAATTAAATATTATATATTATAATATTACATTATTAATTCCAATTTTCTATTATTCGAATTGAAGAAATAATTTTATTTTATTGTTTTTTTTCGAAAAAAAAATAAATAAATTGCATTCATTTGAACTTTGAAAATTTTTGGGGACATTTTTATTTACTTATTTTTTCTTAAATAAATAAATAAATAAATAAATTTTTGAACATTGAGTAATTAATACAAATAATTAAAATTAGTAGACAAACAAAAATAAATGGGTCAGGGTCTTTCGATTCTATGAATCGTGATAGATAAGAATAAAATCAGTTCTTGTTTTGTTTTTTAATTGATATCAATCTCTAATAATATTAATAATCAAAGAGATGATAATTCTTTAGTGGTTTTCTTTTTCTTTTTTCATGGCTTTACAATGGAGGCAATGTTTTTAATGTTAATTGCGAATAATGAGGCAGTATTAGGAATAAATATTTAGAATATTATAACTGAATATGGAATCCGAGTTTGTTTTTCAGTTTTTTTTTATGGTTTTTTTATAGGTTTTTATGGATTTTTTATGGGCTTTTTTATGGGTTCTTTTTTAGAATAATTTCTTTTCAAAGAGACGATGTTTTGCATATTAGAATCAAGTGGTCTGCGTCGATTTTTTTTACGAGGCTTATTTTGAATAATGATAGGGATATCGTTCATTATAGCGTTTTGCGATTTTTTAATATTATCACTTATCACACACTCTTTCATCTCTTTTTTTCCAGTTATTAATGAAGCACTGAGGCTCATGATTCACCTTGAAGCTTTTTCAATTTTAGTACCTATTTTCTATTCACTTTATCTAATCTAAACTCCTTTCTCTCTCTTCATACAAGACGAGCAACATTGCTTCTTGTAAAGTGGCTCTTGACACATGTTCATTGTCTTCACTCTGTTGCACAATTGAGATAGGTCCTTGCAATCCTCTGAAAATTATTTATCCGGTAATTAAATTCATTTCGATGGTTTTCTTTCTTTAATTTGTAATAAAATTGACGAAGAGATTTTTTTCTTTCTTAACGATATTTGAATATTTTTAATTTCTTTCGTTGAATTTTTATTTTTGCAGTAAGAAATAAATTAAATAATTTTGAATTATTGATGAAAAGGTTTTTTTTACCTGGCGAACGAACGCAAGGAGAACCTCGACAGGTTTTCATAACCGGCGGCCTTGATAGATCCCTACAAGCATTTCCTGCCGGTTTTTTTGTTCCGAACCACACGCATTGCAAAATTCTGTATTTTATTCCGTCCTCTTCACATGGCGCGGAACACTATAAGGAAAAAAAAATTTAAATTACTTTTTTATTTTAAAAAAATAATAGAATTTGAAAAATATTAATAAATATAATAAGGATAATATAATTTAATAAAATTTTTTTTTTTTAAATAATAAATTTCAAGTTTTGTACAATATTATTTAATTAATTTTCGATTTTAATTAGTTAATTTTTTTTAAAATTCGTATTACCTCGGACCATTCTCCAACTCTCCAAACACCCTTGCAGGCATCATTGTAACATTCTTGTCTTTGTGGTGGTTTTATTCCCTCGTCGCATTTACTTGAATCGACAATTGTTTCGTTTTCAGTTCCATTTTCTATTTCGACAATCACTCGACAAGTAATGTCTCGTTTTTGCATGGCTGTAAAGAATAATTTACAACCTTATTATTGTGAATTTAATTTCTTTCCCTTTTTTGTTTGAAGAATAAAATTTTTTTCTCTCTAGAATAAAAAAAATAATTATTCGATTGAAATAAACGATTATTTGTCTACCAAATAAGTATTTATTCGCACCAACTAAATATTTATTCGTACTCTCTAAATTTGAATTAGTAACAATGTTTACCAATTTGAATTAGTGACTGACTTTTTGTTTTTTAATTGGTAAATTTTAGTGATAAATTAGTAAAAATTACTAACTAAATTTTCTGCTAATTTATTAGTAAAATTTACTAATTAAAAAGCAAGAAGTCAATTACTAATTCAAATTAGTTAACATTTTTACTGATTCAAAGTTAGAAAGTTTAAAATAATTTTTATTTAAGTCAGTTAAATAATAAATAAATAAGTCAGTCCGTAATTTTATTGAGAAAAGACGAAAAGTTCGTAAATTTGACGATATAATTTAAAGAATTTTAGACAAAATTACAAATGATTGCAGAAATTCAATTATTTGCAAAAATTTTAATAAAATTTTTGGCAAAAATTTTAATTATTTTTAAAAACTTTCCAATGATTTTCAATATTTACTAATTTAAAAAATTGCCGAAAAGAATTCAATTATTTAAAAAAATTGATTTAATTATTTTTATAAAATAATAAAAATTTCACAGAAATTCAATTATTTATAAATTTCTTCGCAATTATTCAATTACTTTTATAAATAATAAAATTTTTACACAAATTCAATTATTTTCGTAAATAATGAAATTCTTATTATGAATTCAATCATTTTCATAAATAATAAAACACATTTCAGAATTTCAATTATTTTTAATACAATTAATACAATTTTAATCGAATTCGTAGAGAAATGTAATTATTCTTAAAAATTTTATTAAAATTCGTCGAAAAAATCCAATTATTTAAAAATTTATTGATAAAATTCTTTATGAGAATTCAATTTTAAGAAATAAGTAATAATTCAATAAATTGTTTTTTTTGTATGTAACTAATTAGATTCTGGTAGAATTTTCTAATAAAACTTGATTTAAAAATATATTTCAGTTAAAATTTTCGATTATAATATTTATAATTGAATATTAAAAGCGCATTAGAGCGTGAATTTTTAAAAATAATTAAATTTTGAAAAGGTTTCAATTTAAAGTCTTTGAGAATCTGAATTTTTTATATTTTTAACTGTGGAATTAATTTTTTTGAGAAAGTTTAATTGCGGATTTTTTTTTTAAATTATCTCAAGTTTTTATTTTCTAATATATATTTAATTGAAGAATTTACGAATAATTGAAATTTTGTTGAATTGAACTTTGTAAAAAAATGGATTTGAAAATTTTGAAAATAATAATTGAATTGATAATAATTTTATCACACGGTCATTAATTATTATTAAACATAAAGAAACGATCACTCCGAGTCTTCGACTCGGAGTTATCGATATCTTCATGTTTTATAGTTACGAAAAATTTAATTTTTAGTTTTTAGTAAAATTATTTGACTATGTCTGTTTATATTTTTTTTGTCAGTAATTGATCAATTTATTTGATTTAATAAATAAAACATAAACATATAAAAATTTAAAAAAGGGAAAAATAAAATAAAAAAATATTTATTCTTGATTATATTTGATTCAAGTAAATATTTATTTAATAGACAAGTAATCGGTTATTTGATTCAAATAAATTTTTTTTGTCGTTTGAATAGTGAGTGAATAATTTTCGTTTGAAAAATAAATTCTTGTGTTTAAATATTGAGGGAGAAATTTTTTTTACCAAATTGAAGTTAGGGAAAAAATTTTTTTTCACCTGTTTTCCAATTGAAACATCGGGAATTTTCACATTCCGTCCATTCTTCGGCGTGCCATTGAGGACATCTTCCTGCACCACAAGATTTGACATTTTCTGGTACTGGATAACCAGCATCTTCGCAAAGATTTGCACCAATCACTGTTCGTTGAGGATTTCTCGTAGTGTTGGTCAATTGTTTCGCTGATCGTACAGTGCACTGTGCTCCCCTCATCTAAAAATTTTCTTATTTTTATTTAAACGACAAAAAAAAATTATTATTATTCTTTTTTTCTAGATTTTTACTTCCAAAAAATAAATTTTACTTTTGAAAAGTATTTTTTAATTTTGCAAATTATTTTTTGCATTTAATCTTTATAACAATAATTTATTGATAATTTTAGTTGAGAGTTTGATCGAAACATATTAAAAATATAAATATTTGAGTAAATCAAAAATATGTAATTTGAATATTACTTCAATTGTCATTTGAAAAAAATAATTTCGAATTGATTCCAAATAATTCTGATTATAAAAAATATTTAAGAAAATAAAATGTACGTAATTTAAATATTACTTCAATTGTTCTTTAAAAGAAGTAGTTTCAAATTGAAAACAAATATTTGCGGAGTAAATAAAAAGAAGTATTATAAATAAATAATTTGAATATTTCTTATTCAATTTTCATTTTTAAAGAAATAGTTCAAACTTGAAGAAATAAATTTCTGTTCTCCTTATTATAGATTTTTGATATTAAATATGAAATAAGATGTAAATAGAATTCAGCGATATTAAACGCGTACTCTCGAAGAATTAAATTAATTAAAGACAATTTCAGCATCAGTGAATAACTTGACAAACAAAAATGAATTTGCTCGTTTTAAGGTTTTGAAAGTTCTTTTGGCGAACAATCACTGCGCAAACTTTTCAGTATTTAATTGCTTCTAAACTCGAAAGTTAATTAATAAAACTAAACTAGTTTATTCCCTCAACTGCTTCATTTTCGAGCCAACGATTTGTTTTCTGAAATTAATTAATTAATTAAATTCACACAAAAAAAACCATTTTTAATGTTCATAATTAAAAAAGATTATTATTTACGAGACAATAAAATAAAATCCCACATATAGAAAGAAGTATTAATAAAGTTAATGTAATTATTTGATATTATTCTGTTATTAATTTTTTATTAATCGTAAATATTTTAACTTTTTTCAATTTTTTTTGTTCTTTTCTTTTTATCAAAAGACTTTCAATTTTGATGAGGAGGTAAAATGTAGAGTTAATGATGTTCTCAAATATTGAAAAATAAAAATTTATTTCTTCTTTAAATTCATATTGGAATAATATTACTACTATTACCTGAATTAATTAATTAATAATAAAAATTCGGAATGTTTAATTTGGTTTTTCGCATTTTATAATAGTTGGTAATTTTTGAAAATATGCAAGAAATTTCATTCATTTGAATGTTCAGAATTTGTGAATAATAATTAATGTTAGATCATTGAAATTGAAACACTGCTTTTTAGCATTTAAAATTAATTTAATTATTAATTATTACCTGAAATCCGCCTCCACCGCAAGTCTGGGAGCATCTGGACCATTCAGTAGTTACCCATTCAAAGATTAAATCGTCCTTTGCTGCATGAGAAAATGTAAATAAAATTTTATTGCTAATTAATTAACCAATTAATTATAAAAATATTACTAATTATTAATTAATTGATTATAAATAAAATTATTATTAATTGAAGGATTATAAATATTATTAATTATTAATTGATTGATTATAAATATTACTAATTAATTATTAATTAATTAATTACATATATTACCATTAATTATTATTAAAAATAAATAATGTTTATTAATTAACTGTTAATACCAAATTAAAAGTAAATGAGTGATAAATTACTTAACTAATTAAGTATTAAAATATTTGAATACTTAACTAATGAAAAATTAGTTAAATATTTACCTCATTAATTAAATAATTAACTAAATAGTTAATTAAATACTTACACTGAAATAAAATTTATTTGATTCAATTAACCGATTACTTGTCTATTATCAAACAAATATTTACTTGAATCAAACAATTTTTGTTTAACTTTAAATCAAATAAATATTTACTTGAGTTAAACAATTTTTGTTTAAATCAAATAAATATTTACTCGAATCAAATAATTTTTATTTAAATCAATTAAATTGTATTAATTTGAACCAATAATTCAGTGTTGGAAGCAAATACCATATAATTGACTCAAATAAAAATTTTTTGAATCAAGTAAATAAATTGATAATAGTAAAATAATCGATTATTTGAATCAAATAAATTTTTTTTCAGTGTTGCTTATTAATATTTAACAAATAAAATTATCAGCTAATTAAACACTAATTAAATACAAACTAATTAAATACTTAACTAATTAAGTGCTAAAGCAAAAAAATATTCAGCTAATTAAATTCTTAGCTGATTAAATACTCAGCTAATGAAATTATTAGCTAATTGAAAACTCAACTAATTAAATTTTTAGTTTATTAAATACTTAGCTAATTAAATACTCAGCTAATTAGCACTTAGCTACTTAATAATTTAATAAATAGAAATTATTTATTTATTTATTTATTCTAACGAAATCTTGCAGTCCAAAAAGATGTTTTCAAATTTTCAAAAATTTTATTAGTTATTAATAACAAATATTAATTATTATTAATTATTTTCTATAATAATTATTATAAATTTTTATAAATTGTTTGAAAATGATTAGGACAATAATTATTTAATTTATTGAAATAATAAATTACCTTTACTGAAAACAACAACAGGTCCAATTGTCGGTTGATTCAGAGGATCTTCACTACCGGAAATTGATAATATAGGCACATTTTCATCATTATTTCTCAAGGAAGAAATATTTTTTGTACTCTTATTTTTTTCATCCTTCTCATTGCGAGTGGATTTTGAATAATCACTATTCTCTCCCATCTCCTTAAGTTTCGTTCGTCGAAGTATTTCCAATTCTCTTTCCTCCTCAATATTTTCCTTTGTCTTCTCTAATTCATCATTTACATCTGTTTCATTTAATTTCATTGACACTGTGTCATTATTTAACATCGTTTCGTCATGAAAATGTTTTTCAATTTGTAATTCCTCCTCGTAAAATTCATTACTTTTTTCACTTATATTCGATTGTTGTGATGTGACTTCGTCTATTAATGAATTTTCCGTGAGAAAATCGATAATTGTTTTGGATTTATTATTGGTGGGGTTAATTTTTTCATTTGGTGGCATTTCTGTTGTAGGAGCAATATTTTTGGTTGTTGTTGTTTCGATTTCGAAATTTGTTGTCTGTTTGATGTTTTCTTTAGTTTGGGTTGTATTTTTATTCTTGTGATCTTTTTCAAAATGATCGTAGGCTTTTTTTTGTTTCGATCCATTTTGGTTAAGGAATGAATTTTTAAATAATGTGGATGGAGTTGATATTTCATTTGAAGAGGGAATTTTCATTGTATTTCTTTGATTTAATGTGATGAGAGGGTCATTCACATCGTAGGGGTTATCGTCAATGAAGATCCGTTCATCATCCAGTTCGTATGCATCGTTCTCGTTTAAAGTATTTTTTTCCACCTCGCCGTAATTTTTGTTCAGGTTATCGTATTGGAAATCGCTTTTTAACTTTGACATTGCTCGAGTGGTTGGGTTGTCTTGGAAATTGATGTCCAACAACGGCTGCTGATTGATCGACTTTGAAGTGTCTTTAAAAGGCCATAAAGTCTGGGAAAAATGTTGACCATGATTACATTGTTTATAGATGTAGATGTCGAAAAGAAAGATGTTGAAAAAAAACCTTTATGAATTTTATGATATTGGATTTTTAGGATTTTTTTGAATGGTGAATTGGAAAACTGTATTTTGAAATTTTTAAGTAGTGGATTAGTGATAAAATAAGCAAAGAATCGGGAATAAAAATAAAAAAAGTCAGTTATGAAATTTTCATTAATTTCGAGGATTATTTAGAAATGTGACAAATGAAGCGAGTTATGGTTAATTAATTAGTTTGTTAAATCTCACCTTTAGAGTTGATATTAATTGATTAAAGTGAGGTACCAGTGTCGATGCACTGGATTTAGCGCTTGATTCTATAGACTCAAAACCAGGCTGTATTTTCGTAGCAATTATTATCCATTAGCATTGAAGAAAATTGTTAATAGTATTTCCAAGAGGAAGGCAGAAAAAGTGAAAAAAAACAGTTTTTTTTATACATGAATTTATTTTGTTAATCTCAAAGAAAAAATAAATTTGAGATTATTATAATGATTAAGGAAGTATTTAGGCCTCGGATATTGTGACTTTTTCGACTTTTCTTCCAAATTTTGCGACAAAATACAATATTTTTAGTATAAAATGCAAATTTATTTCGATTTTTAAAGTGTAAAAAGCATAACTATAGACAAATCTTTAAAAATTAACTTTTAAAGAATTTTAATTGAAAATTTTTGAAATAATTGAATTTTCAAAAATTTTAATAAATAATCTTCCAGTTTAAATTCAATAAAAATGAAAATTAGGTTCTAAAATTAATATTAAAATAGTTTTAAGAAAATAGTAATTCTCTGAATTATTTCGTTTTAATTTTTTAACAAAGTAAATTAAAATTTTTAAAAATTTACTATTTTCGAATTTTTGAGAAATTATTTATAATTAAAATTCTTCAAAAATTTAATTATTTTTTTTATATTTTTTAAAAACTTAATTATTTTTCAAAGATTTTACTAAATTTAAATTATTTTTAAAAATTATTTAGAAATATTTTTAAATACTTAATTTTACAAATTTCTTTATTAAAATTTTTGAAAATATTCTATCTTAATATCTTTAAAAAAAAAATAGACGCAGTTTCAATTATTATAAAAAATTGAATAGATACATACAATTAAAAAGATTTTGAATAATGGAAATTTTGTAAAATTTAATTGAAAATAAATCATTTTTTCAAGAATTTTATTACAATTTTTGAAAATTAACTTTTCAGGAATTTTGTTACAATTTTTAAAAATTAACTTTTAAAGAATTTTAATTGAAAATTTTTGAAATTTTTAAATTCTCAAAAATTTTAATGAATAATCTTCAAGTGTTAATTCAATAAAAATGAAAATTCATGCAAATTAGGTTCTAAAAATAATATTAAAATAGTTTTGAAAAAAGTAATTCTCTGATTTATTTCGTTGTAATTTTCTAAAATTCAATTATTTTCAATATATTCGATATTCAATATTTTCAATATTTCCGAAAATTCAAATACATACACAAAATAATAACATTAAAATTTTTTAGAATTATTTTTAACATTTTTTGAGAAAATAATCTTATTCAAAATTTTTAATTAAAATTCTTTAAAAAAAATTTGTTTTTAAATTATACAAAAATTTTTCAATTATTGTCGAAAAATTACATTACAATATTTATAAAAAACTAATTTTTAAAATTGTTTTATTATAATTTTTTAAGATCCAATTACCTTCGAACAAAGTAAATTAAAATTTTTTAAAATAGTTTAGAATTTTCGAGAAATTATTTATAATTAAAATACTTAAAAAATTTGATTATTGTTTTATATTTTTTAAAAACTCAATTATTTTTCAGAGATTTTATCAAATTTCAATTATTTTTCAAAGATTTTACTAAATTTGAATGATTTTTTAAAAGAGTTTACCAAATTTCAATTTTTTGAACATTTTTTAATTGCATATTTGTAAAACTATTGTCTTTCAAAAATTATTTAGAAATTTTTTTAAATTGTTAATTTTACGAATTTCTTTATTAAAATTTTTAAAAATATTCTACCTTAATATCTTTAAAGAGAAAAATGGAAGGTTTCAATTATAAAAAATTGAATTTTTGTATTTAAATAATTGAATTCTCGAAGAACTTACGGAAAATTATTAAAAATTAATATAAATAATTGATTTAGAGATGAAGTTTAGTTAAAAATTGTTGAAAATAATTAAATTTCTGGAAGGGTTATAGTTTTAATTTTCAGAAATTATTAAATTCGGTAGTTGAAATTTTTTTAATTTTATCCTCTGTGAAAAAAGAAAGAAGAAGTATTTAAATATTTATTTAGCAAAATCATACAAGTTTTGATTAATTGAATTTAGAAATCAGTGAAGAATCAGGGAAATACAAAATAAAATGTTTGTGACAACATTAAATTAAATAAACAACTTTTTCGACTTTTTTTTCTATTTTTAATCGACTAAAGCGATTTTTTCTGTTGGTTAAAGTCGATCCGAGGCCGTAATACTGAAAAAAATATTATTTAAGATTGGGTAATAATTTTTTTTATCATTTTTTTTTATACCTTGTAAGGCGATGTGACTGAATATTCTTCATGCATTTTTGTCGAACGTATCGTTGACTGGGTTGTTCTTATTTTTGGTTTTTGAGTTGTTTTCTTACGTCCTTTTTCTTTTGTATTCGATCCATAAACCTCATGTCTAGCTTCATGACTGTGATCGTCGCTTCCATAAATAAATGCCGGTTCTAGTGCAAATAAAAGAAGAATTAAATTCTAATTAATTCATTCCTGCGATCTATATTTTCATTTTTGAGCATAATTCTTAATTTTCTGCTTCTCTATTAAAATTTAATTCAATTACAATTATAATTATTATTATACTTTTCATATGAATGAAAGATTCATTTTTGAATATGTATAACAAAATTTTTGAACGAATTAATTTTATTTCCTTTCGGTTTTTCTAAGAATATCAATTTGAGACAAAAAAAACGTATCAAAACTAGAGTTAAATAGTAATTTTTGCAACAATTTTGCTTTTTTTTTTGTCTCAATTTTGTATTCTTAGGAAAAGTGTGTATTTATTTGTTTTTTTTTATTCATTTCATTGAATTTAATTTGAGTAAATTGTCAATTAAAATTAATTAGATTTTAGTTAACAAATTAATTTAAATGACAAATGGTGTTATTTAATTGTAATAATGAATCACCTGCTCGATCGGAATGAACATTCTCATTTGAATTCCCTGCGGATGATTTGGCAACAATTCCTTGTCGTGTTTGAATCGCGTTACCTGATCGAAGAACTTCTTCACTACTCATTTGATCTCTTGGACGTAATTTTACGAAAAGTTGCATTTCCGCATGAATTTGTCCAGCTGGTAAAGAAAGTTTTGTAATTTTATTAATAGAAAAATTCGAAATTTAAGAAAATTAAATTTACTGATGAAAATTTTAATATTTTATTATAATAAACTTACCAACACATGAATATATTCCTTTATCTGAGAAGGCGATGTCCATTATCCTTAGAGCTCCTTTTCTGCTAATTTTGTATTTTCTCGATTTTTGTATTCTCTTGCTATCTTTCAACCAACTAATTTGGGCTCTGGAAAAAATGATATGTATTATTTAGTATTATTGCAAGAATACGGTAAAATTTTGTCATGAGGCTAAAGAGGAATATTTTTGAATTTTTCTTTGTTTTCGTACTTTTCAAAATTTTGTACAGGACAGCGAATTTTAATGACTGTTGTCCCTTGAAAAACCACAGCTCCCCCTCCAATTTTGAGATCAACTTTTTGATTAGGATCATCTTGAATGAAGGTAATATTTTGTGAATTAATTATCGGCTGTTCGCTCATTCCCAATTCGGAGCATGGTCTGTTGTTACATACTTCTTCCGATTGTGGTTTGCGGGCAGGACATTCGTGATCTGGCCGACTTTGTTTATGGCCCTGTGCGCGAACTTGTTCGCAAGTTATTTTTCGTGTTTTCACACCACCCCCACAAGTCTTGGAACACTATAATGAAATTTTCGTTTATTAAATTTTTTAGTAAATTAGTGATTCAATTTTTTAGTGAAAATTATTTTTTAAAAAAGGATTAACAAAATTTAGAGAAAGAAATTGCTGGTTTGCGTAATGATTATATTGTAGAATGAAATGTACCTTTCCCCATTTACCAGTGTGCCACTTGACAGGGCAATCAAACACATTGCAATATCGTCTGTCCACTGGCGGTGGTTGTGGGCACATATGACTTGGAACAGCCACACTGTTCCCAGTTCCACGTGACACTTCTTGTATGCAAGTGACGTCACGCGTTTGTATTCCAATGCCACAAGAACTCATGCATGGTGAGAAATCAGTTGTATTCCACCTAGAAACATTATTCCTTTGTGAACATTCAAAAGCGTTTCGATTTATCCAGCAAAAGAAAGTGTAAAATTATCAGAAAAATAAAGTTCGCTCAAAAAATAATTTTTCATCTTCTACTGATTATTATCGGCTGTGGTTTCTTTTTATGAATTGTGAATTAAATTAATTTTGATGACCCAGATATTAATTCAAATTGTTCTAGCAATAGTTTGGGACCAGTAAAACATTATTTGACTAAAAATTGTTAGTAAACAAAAGATAAAGTTGATGTTTTGATTCGGAATCAAAAATCAATTTTGTTTAATTTTGAGTTGTATATTTTATGTTTTGATATCAAAATCAAAGGTCAGCTTTGTTTTGTTTTGATTCCGATATACGAATTAAAAGTGCAGTTTGTTTCCAACTTCAAAATCAATAGTATTTTTGGTTAAGATATCAGAATCAAAGTAAACATTTAAGGGTGCTTCTGCAACTGATCCTAAAACTTTAAAATCGCCAAATTAAAAATTGCAGATATATGTTATTATTTATAATATTATTTATTGTTTTATTTTCTTTTTTTCAGGTAACACAGGATTTAGAAGTGCTCGGAATTACTTAAAATCAGGAGTATCTTTTGTGCCTTAAAGATGATGAAGAGGATGTTAACGAGTACAAACTGAAGGTTGTCAGCTACTCTTCGTAATATCGGTAAGTTTACAATATTCTTGAATTAAATGAAATTGCTCGACATGCATCACTAATATTGCAAAAATAATTAGTGCTCTAAACAAAAATATAAAATCAGAGTTTTTCGATAATTCCACTCACTTCGGATCACATTGATGATCATTGCAGATTTTAATCCTCGATTCAGGTTTTTTTTCTTGCGTACAAAGCAGATTACTGACAACTTTATTTGTGTCATCACGTCTACACTGAATTATTGAAGTTTGTCGTCCTAGAATTAATGGATTTTTTTTCTCTATATATATGTTAGTGTAATAAATAATTTCTCGTTCCGTTAAATTTGTTATAGTGCACACAGAATATATGTATGCACGAGAACTCGTTAATAAGTTGAGATTTCAGAAATATTAACATACATACCTCCTAAACAAGTTGCGTTGCAGTGAGTAAATCCGTTTTCGTGCCAAGAATATGTGGTTTGGACGGAACTTCCGGATGCAACTTTGATGTTACTCTCGTAACTTCCGGACCCAAAACTACCAGACGATGATCGATATGTGTCTGTGAGACTTGGTTCGGCATAACTACTATCGCCAACGGCGTCAATTCTGTAGGACAAGCTATTTTCCATTAAATTGCACGAGTCCATTATGCATTTCTCAATATCAACGGGTTTTGGCCCTTTGCATTTATCGTCCGGTAATGGGGCTATTGTTTTGCTGAAGTCGAGAAATACTTTACAGCCAACGTCGCGACGTCGAACACCCTCGCCACATGTCACTGAGCACGGTGACCATGCTTCCGCAATGAACCTTAAATTGGAAATTATTTATTCATTATGTGTGTTTCCTTTCGCTTTGTTTTTTGTTTGTTGTTTATGGATTATCTGCCTCTATGCATACTGTTAACCCTTTGAGGACCAAATTCTTTCTTAAAAAATCGCGATTTTTGATTTTTAAGGAAACTTTTCAGGGACAGTTATTGAAGTTTTTTATTTGAAGACCAGTGTCTGTCATACGAAATTTTTCAGACTATGTGAAAATTATTGTTTCAATATTCAGTTTTGAAAATTAAAAAATTTATGCACAAGTTAATAAAAAAATGTTCATGTTGCCTGAAAGCAACACTGGTCCTCAAAGGGTTAAAAGTCTTTTTGCTTCGGATAGGAAAAATGGAATTGAAAATAAGCTTTTTTTTCGTTTTAATTCGCAGGCTTCGCACTCATCTACTAAAACCTACTATTTACTATTTTTTGGAACTTTTTTTTAGATTTCAGCCACTAAAAGCTACTATTTTTGTTTTTTTTTTTAGAATTTCCACTACTTTAAATTCGCTAATACTAGAAATCAAAAAACTATTCTTGAAAATTATAATCAAATTCTTTACAACGATTCAATTATTTTCAAAAAATATTCGGAATTCAATTATTTTCTTAAAATTTCGCAAAAGAATTCAATTATTTGAAAAAATTGATAAAATTCATCCAAAATTCAATTATTTTCAAAAAAATTTCGAAAAAATCAATTATTTAACAAAATGTTTAAACAATACTTCACAATAATTCAATTAATTTCACTGATAATAACTTTTTTCATGGAAACTCAATTTTAAAAAAAAAATTATATCATTTTTGCAAGAATTCAATTATTTCTAATAATAATTAAACGAAAATTCAATTATTTTAACAAATAAAGTTTTTCACAAGAATTCAATTATTTAAAATAAAATTTTCGTATAATATTTATTATATTCTCGTAAAGAATTCAATTATTTTCAAAAATGACAAAATTTTTCATAGAAATTCAATTCTTTTTAAATATTTTAATAAAATTTTTCGCAGTAATTCAATTATTTTCATAAATAATAAAATTCTTCTCTGGAATTCAATTATTTTTGAAAATTTTAATAACATTCTTTGCAACAATTCAATTATTTTTATAAATATTAAAATTCATTGCAAGATTTCAACTATTTTTTAAATACAATTTTACTGGAATTGCTCAAAGAATGTAATTATTCTTAAAAATTTAATTTAAATTCATCGAAAGAATCAATTATTTAAAAAAAAGTGTGTTTGAAATTCTTTGGTAAAATTCAATTATTTACAATAATATTAGAATTTTCCACAGGAATTCAATTATTTTCAAATATTTTAATAAAATTTTCCGAAAGAAATCAATTATTTCAAATACAATTTTAATTACATTTTTTTTATATAATTTTCAATTATTCTTTTAGATTTTAATAAAATTCTTCCCAAGAATTCAATTATATTTTTAATAATAATTAATCGAAGCATTCAATTATTTTGACAAATAAAGTTTTCCACAAGAATTCAATTATTTAAAATAAAATTTTCGTAATATTTGTTATATTTAGAAAAAATTAATTATTTAAAACAGTGTTTATAAAATTCTTATAAAAAATTTAATTATTTTAATAATAACAAAATTTTTCACTGAAATTGAATTCTTTTCAAACATTTTAAATACAATTTTACTGGAATAGCTCAAAGAATGTAATTATTCTTAAAAATTTAATTTCAATTCTTCGAAAAAATCAATTATTTAAAAGAATGTTTTTTGAAATTCTTTGGAAGAAGTCAATTATTTACAAAAATATTACAATTTTTACAGGAATTCAATTATTTTCAAATATTTTAATAAAATTGTTCGAAAGAAATCATTTATTTTAAATACAATATTAATTAAATTCTTTTTGAAATAATTCAATTATTCTTTTGTATTTTAATAAAATTCTGGCCAAGAATTCAATTATTTACATAAACAATTCTTTGAAAGAATTTAATTATGTCGATACATATGAAAATTATTCCCGAAAATTCAATTATTTTGAGCCATTTTAATAAAATTTATTGCAAAATTTAATTGTTTTCATAAATAACAATATTCATCACGAGAATTCAATTATTTTTGAAAGTATCTAATAAATTTCTTCTTGGAAATTCAATTACTTAAAAAATTCTAATAAAATCTTTCGCAAGAATTCAATTATTTTCATAAATAATAAAATGCTTTTTCAGAATTCAATTATTTTCAAAAAAAATTTAATAAAATATTACACAGCCATTCAATTATTTAAAAACTTTTTTTTAAACATCTTCGTAAGAATTCAATTCTTTTCATGAATAAGAAAAATTTATCAGGAATTCAATTATTTAAATTAAATTTAATTTAATTTAAATTTAAATTAGAATTTGCATAAAGTTTGTCGAAAGAAAATTAAAAAATTTTTATAAAATTCATCGCAAGAAAAAAATTATTTTTATAAATATTTAAATTCTTTCATGATTAATAAAAATTCGTTTTTCGATAGCTACTTTTTTATTACATTTTTTAGTTTGAAATTAAAATTCGAAATTAAATTAAATTAAATTAAAATTTTGCATCTTTGTTGAGTTTTTGAGAGTGAATTCAGTTCAATTTTTATTCGAATAGATGAATAAAAAGTTTCTTTACGATTTTATTCAGATCTTTGAATCAGGATAGAATTTTGTTTACAAACACAGTTTTTCTAAGGATATCAAATTGAGACAAAAAAAAAAAACGAATTAAAAAGTTGCTCTGCAACATTTTGCTACATTTTTTGGCTCAATTTTTAATATCTTTAGAAAAACTGTGTTTTGATTGCAAAATCAGAATCAAAATTCAAAATTTGTTTGGTTTTGATTCTGATATGAAAATCATAAGTAAATTCTGTTTTTTTATTCAAAGATCAGAAGTTTTTAAATTTGTCCAGATATTTGAAAATGTTGTTTGTTTTTATTCCAAAATTACAATTCAAATTCATCAGTTTTTGGTTTTAGTTGTTAGTCATTAGTTAGTTGTTAGTATTCAGTTCTTATTTTAATTCGTTAATTTAGAAGACGTAATGTAATTACAATAATGTCTAACTAGTGACGACAATTTTCATTTCATCCTTTCTTTTTTGCACAGTATATGGTGCTTCTGTTATCGATAGCGAAACCCAGCCGCACTGACGTCACAGGGTCGCCCCAGTTTTCATAGCGCAGAGAAAACATGGCGAATATATATATATATATATATGTATGAATTCGCATTTTCTTATATTGCGTCATTTTTCTCTCCTTTTCTCTTCCCTTTAAAATTCAGTCCTTAAATTAAATCCAGTAGAAAAAAACATATGCCGGTAAATAAATGTATTGAGAATTTATTAAAAAACAATATAATTATTTATTTTCGGTTTGAATAAAATAAATGTAAATAACAAATAAAATTGCATGGAAACGTACCATTAGGATGTTCAAATTTTACACATTTTATTAAGTACAATTTTTAGGGAGTTTTTTTTGGAATATTGGAGTGTTTACTCTGACTGTTATTCTAATAGTCACTCCAATATTTACTCCGATATTTACCCAAATATTTACTTTGATATTTAATTCAATATTTACTCCGATATATTTTTATCGGAGTTGAATTAATCCAAACAAATTTGTCCAAAACAAAAATTAATTTTGGAATTAACGTTATTTTGAAAAAAAAAGTTTATCAGTGGCGAAATGGATTAATTAGTGAATTAGGACTTACTTTGATACTGAAGATACAGGTTGATCTATTAATTTTTCTGGCACTGGAGGTGGTGCGTATGGTTGCACTAGAGGTTGATTTACATCATCGTCATCTGAAATTAAGTAGAGGGAAATATTTATTTTAGCCATTCGGCACAAAAACTTTTATTACAATTAACTTCTCTTCTTGATTATCAATTATCAGTTTCCCACAAACAGAAAATTGTTCTATTTAAAATTTTAAACCAAATATAGTTTATTTGAGTCAAATAAAAGTACCACTGTTAACTCGAAAGTATCAAACTGCAACAAATTAATACCAAAAATCTGGATCAAATCTTAAATTGATTCAAATTTTTGTTATCAGTTCAGATCCTGTTTGGACATTTCTTCAACTAAAATTTATTTCTTTGAGACAAATTTTTTTCTGAGGGCACTGGATCTAAAATTTTTTTTTGAAAGAAAAGATTTTTTCAAATAAGGAAAAATGTAACATTTCGGTAAAATCTTTGCTTACAACTCGAACAAAGATGACTGCCTTTGCATTCTTGTTCGCCGTGTGGTCTTTCCGCGGAATCGCAATCTTCTGAAAACCTCCCATTTCCATCTCGACACTCCACGGACCTTGTTCTTATTCCCGTCCCACAGGAGACCGAGCACTGTTAACGTACAAAGCGACAAAAAATAATAATTAGTTAAATTCATTAGCATTAATTTGTTTAGATGTCTTTAGTTTACTTGAATTTTTGTTCTCTAAATCTGAATCAGTTAAAATTTCAATTAATTTGAATCAGTTATTACTGTCTTTTTATTTCGCTTTTTATTTCAATTTTTATATTATATTTATACTGTTCACTAAATTTGAAGCAGTTAAAAATAATTATTTTGAAAGTACAAAATCAGTCACTGATTCAAATACAGTATGTAAATAAACTTAAAAAAGATTATCGAATTAATAGAAATTTTGTAAAATACAACTAAAAATAATAAAATGTATTAAAAAATTTTATTAAAAAAAAAAACAATTTTTTTCATTTTTTTTTTTTTATTAAACTTTTTAACAAATCAAATTTTCAAAGTATTTTAATTTAATAATTGATAAATAATTGAATTTTATAAAGAGTGCGAAGATTAATAATCAAAATTTTTATTAGTTAATTTAAAAAAAGATACACACTTAAATTTTTTAAATAAAATTGAATTTTCGCAAAGTTTTTTTAAAAATTCTGAAAAATAAGATTTTTGAAATTTTTAATTTCTGTTATTTCAAGATAATTGAATTTTCAGAAACAAATAATTGAAATTTTTTTACATTCTATTGAAAATAATTAACTTCTTGAAAAGAATTTTATTTAAATTTTTCGAAAATAATCAAGGGAAGTCAGTCACCACAATTATAATTTTATTTTTAAAAATTTCTTCGCAATACATATATTCAATTATTTTCATAAATAGTAAAATTCTTCGCAGGAATTTTTAAATATTTTAAATGCAATTTCAATCGAATTCCTCGAAAAATGTAATTATATTCTTAAAAATTTTATTAAAACTCGTCGAAAGAATTCAATTATGTAAAAAAATTCTTCTCAAGAATTTCAATTATTTTCATAAATAGTAAAATTCTTCAGATTTACTAAATTCTTTTGAATATTATTTTTAAGAAAAATTCTTCACGAGAATTCAATTATTTTCATTTTCCATATAAAATTCTAAAAAACAATTCAATTATTTTCAAAAGTAATGAAATTCTTCGCAGAAATTCAATTATGTTTAAAAATTTGTTAAATTTCTCCTCAAAATTTCAATTATCTTTATAAATAATTAAATTGTTCTCCACAATTCAATTATTTTCAAAAATTTTAATAAAATTCTACGCAAACATTTAATTATTTTCATAATTATATGTAATAAAATTCTTTGAAAGGATTCAATTACTTTTATAAATAGTAAAATTCTTTGCAGAAATTCAATTAGTATCGATACATTTTAATAAACTTGAATTAATCAAATTTTCAATTATAATTATGAACAGACAAGATTTTTTAAAAAAAATTGAAAAAATTCTTTGTTTAATTCAATTATTTTCCAAATTTTTAATTAAAATTATTAAAAAAAAACATTATTTTCAAAAAATTTAAAGAAACTTGTCAAAAGAATTTAATTATTCATGAAAACTCTATAATAAGAAATTTGGAAGTCATTTGTAGATTTATTTATGTTCGAAATCAAATAAATTTAAATTTGATGAGAAAAAAAAACCGGGATAAAACCGTGAATTTTGTTGAACGAAAATAGTAGACACCCTGTTGACTTTTTAGTTTTTATTAATAAAACTATTATTTCAAATAAGCTAGTTTACAAAAAAGAAAAAATTAGTTCAGATTTAGAGAGTGTATTTTTAATTTAGATACTTTTGTTTTTTGATCATTGTTATATTAGCGAAAATAACTGTTCTATTGTTTCAATAAAGCAGTTTTGCCAGTTAAACTGCTTTTAATTTTCCCTCTCGCGAAAATTTGTTAACTTTATGTATTATGCATTATTACAATATTAACAAGGATATGCATATATAATATATATAGTATATTTATATATTCTATATATATATATATATACTTATATATTCCATATATATAGTATATTTATATACACTATACATATATTTATATTTCATTGTAAACTGTATAAATATGTTGTTTATGAATTGGAGCGAATTGCTTTGTCAGTTTGTAAATTCCGACATAGTTGGTTATATGCATTCGTATTGTGCGTGTGTGCTGTATAGCTGACACAGGAAATGAGGGCAACACAACAGGAACTTGTGTGGGAAGGCATTAATATATTCTAACTTGTCATGAAATATGTATGTGTGCACTCATTAACACCCCGAGTAATGACAAATGAATTAAGTTTCAACCCCCTCAGCTTTGAACAATGTAATATTGTCACATTCCGGAATTGCGAAATTTCTCTCTCTCTCTCTCTTTTCATTTGCGATTTTTAGGGTGACCGAGAGTCAAGGAAAACCCCGCTTAAATCTGATAATTGCATTCCAAAAACAAGTTAAAGGAAAAATTAGAAAAATTAAATATTTAAAATTTTGTTACTTTGGATAAATAGTCGTTGAAACTGGGAGAGAATTATGTGATCGATAAAAAGAGGGTTGCTACAAGTCAGGGAAAGTAGAATTGGTCAGGAAAATCAAGGAAAAGTCTACTGGATTTCTACTGGAGAAAATTAAATTTTTAGAATTGATAAGAAAATTTTGAATTTTTGGAATCTTTTTTGTTTGTCTCATAAACTATGAGAAACTACCACGAATTCTAATACAAAACCTTCAAAATCTTTTTCTATATCTGACAGGAATTAATTTTTTAACATTATTTAATTATTTCAAAAGCTTTAACGCAATTATCTTGCTACATAACAAAATTCTTCACAGAAATTCAATTATTTTTACTTTTTTAGGAATTTTAACAAAATTCTTTGCAAAATCCAATTATTTTCATAAATAACAAAATTCTTTACAGAAATTCAATTATTTTTACTTTTTTAGGAATTTTAACAAAATTCTTTGCAAAATTCAATTATTTTCATAAATAACAATATTCATCAGAAGAATTAAATTATTTATAAAAGTAATAAATTTTTTCTTGGAAATTCAATTATTTTTGATTCAATTTAACAGGAATTGCCAAAAAATGTAATTACTCTTAAATAATTACCACGAATTCTAATTCCTATTTTTAGGAGTTTTAATAAAATTTTTTGCAAAATACAATTATTTTCATAAATAAAATATTCATCACAAGAATTCAATTATTTTCAAAAATAATAAAATTGTGCGAAGAAATTCAATTATTTTTTAAAATTTTAACGAATATCTTGTCATGAATTCAATTATTATCTTTATAAATAGCAAAATTTTTAGCCAAAAATTCAATTATTTTCAAAAATTTAAATAAAATTCTTTGCAAAATTTCAATTATTTTCAATAGTTTTTTTGGAATTCCCAATGATTTTCAATATTTGCTATTTTCTTAAAATTTATCAAAAAATTTAATCACTGAAGAAAATTTTTGATACAATTCTACGAAAACATTCAATTATTTTCATAAATAATAAAAATTCATTTAGGATTTCAATAATTTGCATCGCAGAATTTCAAATATTTTTAATATAATTTTAAATAAATTTCTCGAAAAATGCAATTTTTCTTAAAAATTTTATTTAAACTTGACGAAAGAATTCAATTTTAAGAAAAGTTCAATTATTCAAAAAAAAAATAAAATTCGATGTAATAATTCAATTATTTTCATAAATAATTATTAATTCTTCATAGAAAATCGATTATTTCCAAAAATTTTAAGTAATTCTGCACAAGAATTCAATTATATCTTGATAAACAACAAAATTCTTCCCATAAAATCAATTATTTTAAGGAATTTTAATAAAATTCTTTTCTAAAATTTAATTATTTTGATAAATATCAAAATTCATCACAAGAATTCAATTCTTTTGAAAAGTAATAAAATACTTTGCAAAAATTAAATTATTTTTAAAATTGTTTTAAAACTCTCCGTCAAGAATTCAATTATTTTCAAAAATATTAATAAATTTCTTGGTAAAATTTCAATTATTTAAACAAAATTTCATAAAATTCTTCGCATGAATTCAATTATTTTCATAAATTAATATTTAAATTCTTCTCAGGAGTTCAAATTATTTTTAAAAATTGTGATAAAATTCTTTAATATACCTAATAAATTTCAGTAAAATTTTAACTAAATTCTTTAAAAGAAATGAATTATTTTGGAAATTTAATAAAATTCTTCATAAAAATTAAATTATGAGAAATATTCAACTATTGAATAAATTATTTTTTTTTGTTTTTAAATAATTGAATTTTCGTAGAATTTTCTAATTAAAATTGATTTAAAAATTAATTTCTGTTAAAACTTTAGATAATAATTTAATTTTAAAAGCATTATAGCATGAATTTTTGGTAATAATTGAATTTTGAGAAGATTTCAAATGAAAATTTTTGAAAATTTGAATTTTTTATACTTTTAAGTAGAAATAATTTTTTTCAAAAAAGTTTAATTGAATTTTTTTTTAAATTATTTAAAGTTGTAATTTAATTAAGTAAGTATATTTAATTAATTTAATTTAATAAGTATATTTAATTGAAGAATTTCCGAAAAATCGAAATTTCGTAAAATTGAATTTGTATTTTGTAAACAAATGGATTTGATAATTCTCAAATAACTTTTTCAAAAACTATTAAAAATAATTGACTTGAAAAAGAATTTTAGTTAAAAACTCTAGAAAATAGTAATTGAATCGAAATGATGAAAATAATAATTTTCTTATAAGTTGGTGAATTTCAAAAAGGTTTTTATTTGGAATTTTTGAAAATCTTAATTCTTATGGAAAAATAATAATGATTAAATGTTTGTTTAAAAAAGAAGTTATTGATTTTTTTGAATAATTTTACAATTAAAGAAATTCTTAAATAAATGTGTAAGAACATTTTTCTAAGTATCTAATAATTTTTAGAGTGAATCAGAATATATTCTTTAGGGTCAGGGAAAAGGTCAAAATTATGTCTGGAAATCAGGGAAAAGTCAGGGAGAAACAAAGTTAAATTTTTGTGGCA